AAATAGTAAAAAAAATCTGAAATAAAATAAACTGGGAACCCTGAGCTGTTCTGTGCTATTGGCTCGAAATACAATACTTCAGTCACAGGACAGAAATAGAGTATGTCGAGGCATATAAAATAATGACACAATTAAGTAAAACTGGAAATGAAGAAAAATCCATAAAAGACTTGTGGAGAATTGCTCCTGTTATATAATCTGGCCTGTTCAGTTATACCCTAGAAGAGTCCAAAAGCCAACTGGAGCAAAGGAACTCAAAAAATACAACCTTGGCTTGTACATTTGCTCCTGAGTGCTTTTCCTGCTCCATTATGACTAGAGCAGAAGGGGAGAGAACTGAGGACACAGGGAGAGCCTTGGGTAGCTGGAAAGCAGTACCAGTGCTGTCCACCTTCAAGCACAACTCCACCATAGCTAGCCAACACATCAACCCTGCATCTCCCTGCAGTGTGCATCCCTACATCACCTAGGATGTGGTTTTGAGTGTGTGAGTCACAGCAGGCTTCAACGCAAAGCCAGAGTCCCACAACTGATCCCTTCAAGCCCAGCCTGGAGCAGGAGAATGGTACTGACTCAGGATGTGCATCCTGCTAAGCTTACACAAAGACATTCAGAAAGACACATTCTGTTCACTACTTGCCTGAATTCTTCACAGGAATGTAACCCTCGACATACAGTTTGTCAGCAAAATACAATTCATCATGAAGGAATGAACTACTGTCTTGCTAAAGCATCAAGAGACATATTTTCAGCAGCCTAGGAGTCTGAGGCAAAGGTGGGGAAACGCAGCAACCAACCAGTTTGTTCTTCTGACTAGCACAACTACAACAAAAATGTAAAAACATTTCCAGTGCTAGAACACTTAACAGCTCAGATTTCAAACAAGGAGAAACTATTTCAAAGCAGAAAGAGCGTACGAGATGTTTGTTTCTTTAACTGAATGCAAAGTGGATGTGGAATTTCCTTTTGGAAGAAATGACTGAATGGGAGATGGCTTGGATTCCCATTTGTATGTTGCATCATATATAAAAAAGGATGATACAATGAATTGCAATTCTGAAGAGTCCAGGCAACAATAAGAAACTGATTTCAGATTAACACCTTCAGTGGGTGTCTTGCTGTGCAATTTATCTTTCTACTAGGTTCAAAGACTCAGACCAGGAACAGTTTAGCTATGTAACTTGTAATACCAACGCTGAGTTTGTGTTAAATGCTAAAAATAATAATTATATCCCTTTAAGAGAAGGGGTTTAAAAGAGAAGTTGCAGTAGGGCAGCAGAGAAGTTGGAAGTTTAATAGCAGTGGTAATGGAGGTTACACGTGGTTACTAGTAACACAATACTCTGGCTTTAGAATTAGAGTAGACAGTCTGTTAATCTCAAGCACTGGACTAACAAAGATAGCTTCAAAGACATTCAAAATAACTTTACAGATCTGGCCCTATGTGTTTGCAAAGTGAACTAGATATATCATTTCCTCATGCAACACTTGAAATAGGCTGCAAATAAATGGGGAATATGCAAATATCACAGCCAAGACTGCTTGCTAAATCTGCTCAATTAGCTCCAAATGCTTTCCACAGCTATGATATGCACTAAGGACCATCTGCAAATAAACCTGACCAAAAAAATGGAACAAAATTTTTCTTCTTTAGAGCGCAGACAGACAATGGCTGCAGAGCCATTACTAAGGCCAGTGGGCAAGGTTTTGGCTGGTAGCTGCAGGTTGAAGATCAGCATGGCCATGCCTCCAGCCCTCACCTCTTCTATACACAGAAGTGGATCCAGGGTTTGAAAACATAAACCCACAACTTTTCTGGCATAGATGATATTGCTGCCTGCTCTTGCACCTTCTGAATGCAACAGGATCTAAGATCTTACGTAGGATAACCACTTCCACTGCTGTCAGGCATGAGGTGAGTTATTTCTATAGGGCTGGGAGCTGCTTAGGGATGAGAGCTGTCTTCTCATGCACAGAGCCTATGTATTCTATAAATACTACTATTACTAATATAAAAATAACAGACTGCCATTACCACCCAAACAGCCTGTTCTATTTACAAGTTGTATTTGGACTCGACTTTTTAAATGAGGTTTTGCCTCTTTCTTACATGACTTCCTGGTATCTTCAAATGATCTTGGTTTGGGAAATTAAGAATTGGAGGCCAAGTCACCATGCAAGCTGTTTGCACATAAATCGTCAAAGCCCTTTATTTTAATCTGTGATAATTACTACTGTTAGTTAAATCTTGCTTCCCTGATGATTCTTAACAATAAGTAACAAATGCACTAATTGCAAAAAGTTGTTACTTGTTCTGAGATCAATTTGTATTAATAGAGAAAGTTTCCATCTTAGTCAGCACAAAGCTCTCTCACAGAGATTTTTACAGCACCAGCAACAAATGTTTTACAATGGAATGTTACCCTGGAAGTATGAATTTTAAAGAGTTCACTATAATCTCACTACCGCAGACTTTGTACTTTTCTTTAAAGAGGAACTGTTTAAAGCTGGACAACACCAGAGGAGCTGCTGTAAAGGCTCTCCCCCTAAGTGTGAGCCCTGCGTGAAAGCTTCTGGCTCCTCATGATGAAAATCCTTTGCTTAGGATTCATGAAGAATTGAATTCCGCACCAGATATTTCAGCTATCTGGGTTTCTGGGACAACACATTTTCTTCAGAGAATTGTATCTACCCGTACCCTTTTCTAGCAATCGAGTGCTGCCTTTTGTTTACCCCTCTACTCAGAGAATAAGAATCTAATTGTGTGATCTAAGTGTCCAGTCAGAATTAACCAATATGTCTAGAATTTTAAATGCTCATTATAAACCAAATCTAAGTCCAAGAACATCCTGCTGGACTCACACAGGGTGAAATTCCTGGGAAGCAGAGAGTTGGCACAAGCTCTCTGCAGACAGAAGCAGGCCACATATGCAGCACGTAAGCTTTTGTGCCCTTCTGCACAGGGAGGAACCTGATCCTGAGTGAAGAATTGCAAATAACAAGTGATACTGCACTGTCCTGCTCACATGCAGACACTAAATCCATCAAGAACGCTATTTACTGTGAGCAGTGTGTGACTGCAGCCTTTCTAGCAGCGAGCCAACATCTTTATCAGATTGGAATCATTCATACAATACTGAGCTTTCAATCCGTGTAATCAGTGAATACACAATTATTTCATATTCCTCCCTATAAAGAGAATCCGGGTCAATTTGCATCCCAAAACGTTTTAAAATTCCACAAATAAATAAATAATGTTATTTCACCTGTTAACACATGGGAACTATTTGTTTTGGCCAGTTTGCAGGAACTCTGTGTGCCAGGTTATGAATAAAATAAAGTTCAATACTCTAAACATTCTGTGATACAAATTCCTGGCTCAGCGTAAATACAGACCTTTTGTATGTGGCAGGTTCTTAATGTGTTCTCCAGCACTGACACCATTAAATTCACGTATCTTATGACAGAGTATGTCTATAAATATCTATAATTGCTAATAACATTGTAAAAAAAAAAAAAAGCAATTGTGCAGATAAGCCAATTTGCCCATCATGGGGGCCTCTGTTACACTGGATTTTGCTTACACTGGAGTCTGGGTTTTTGGAAAGCAAAATGCAACTACTGTATCCCAGTGGTTTCTGCACATGCCGTACATTCCAGGACACAAAGTAGGGTTTCTGTTTAAAGAACAGTATAGTTACAAAGATAAGATAAAACCAAACTGGAATATAATATTCCTGGGAAATTTTAGTTCTATAATGCAAACATGAAGGCAGTAATGTAAAGGATGCTTTAGGAACAACACTGGCAAAGGCGGAGTTTCTCACCCTGCCAGACCTCCTTCCCAAGCAAAACTACCTGTTACTTTAAGATCAGAATGCAAATACAGAGCAGACTCAGCTCTGGTTTAATCCACTGCATTCAGGAATTAATTCCACTGATGTCACTGGAGAAACTAAGTTCAGACAGGCCTAAATGAAGGTAAAATCCAGCCCTGAGGAAGGGACTGATGGTTTTGGCTCTGCCTTTAAATTCATGGCTTGCTTTCATTTCAGGTGGTTGGAATAAGTCTAGGACTGGACTATGCTGTGTAGGTCTCAGACTAGCATGAAATTCAGCTGCATAGCTCTAGTCTTGCATCTGTGGTAATAAAACAGTGTACTGTCAGACTCTGCAGATCCAGGACCTGCATGAGGCAGAGGAACAGAACTGAGCTGTCAGTGCTCTCAGTTACCCTCTGGTTGTGTGTGAGCCTGTTGGGGCTTCCCCACACTTCCCTCCAGAAGTATTCAGTTTAACAATAGATATCCCAAACCTTCAGATTTACCACCTGTGGGATGAGAAGATTATGGTCCAACTTTCTTCTCAGCTCCATACTGATGCTTTGAGGGAGACAAAACTCTCACCACAGCCCCTTGTTAGACTTCCCTTTTTCTTGGTGACTAGGTTCCTAACTCAAAGTGCAAATGTTTACTATATTTATGCTCAAGGCAACCAACCTTCTGCTATTTTCTTTTTAGCTCGCCCAGGCTGAACATGGGACACCTCTTCAGTTCTCTGCACTCCTGGATGATACTGCTAACAAACTTTTCTCTGTAGAATTCAATCTGCTGGCTAGAACTGTTCAAAGTTTGCTTTTTGAAATACAGAAAGGAGTTTCAGCATCATTTACAAAGCTTTTTGACACGAAGAATCCACCTGTGGTGGGAATCTTGTGTAGGTTTTTCCTTTGGATGGTTAAGCTGTCAATCAATACTCATTCCCATCCCATTTGGAATACACTTCTCTAAAACCTGCTGGGCCATATCCATAAGCCTGTGTTGCAATGTTTATGCATAAGAGGAAAGTTTAAATCCTAGGAAAAAACTCCAATCAAAACCAGTTAAACCGTTTCTTTCCAAATATTTAAACTGCAAATTATCACAGAAAGCATGCAGAAGCAAAGCACACTGAGCATCTTCACACTTTGAAAGAAAATACCACGTAGCATTCACTGTTACCTTAGACCAATCGCCTGTTTTCCATTCGTAACAGCCTGTGTGATCCTCACACTCTTCCTCATCTCTTGGCCTGGTGGCTGCATCACATTTTCCTTGAGAATTTGTGCACGTCACTGTTCTTTTCTGAATCCCCTTGCCACAGTCTGCCGAGCACTGCAAAACAACAAGTATTTGTTTTCTGTCACACGATGCCTAGAAATTATAACTTTTATCTTGGTAACAACATAGCTAAAAGGAAAAGTTGGTTTTATGAGCACAGAGGAAGGCTGATAACCCTAAGACTTTCTGCCAATAATCTAAGCTCCTTCCAAATACAAAAGAGTAATCTGAAAAGCATGATATCGACTTGTGAAGTATTTTACTTATGAAAAATGGCAATTCTGAAAATCAACCTTTGAAAAATATCAGCTGGCATTTTGCTAGCATTGGTGTTACAGATGAAAAAAACCCACTGAAACCAGCATTTAAGAGCTTCATACTGAAAAAGGACACACTGAGATTTGCAACACAGAACTGCCACATCCCTTCATGTATCACGGGAGTCAAATGATGGCAATAAAGACATTTTTAAACCACAGTAGCATGAGACCACTGTTACTAAGCCATTTCTGCAGTACAGTTTGTACATACCATGGCAAAGTCACAATTCTCACACATGTTCTCATGTGAAACACACACATGACCTTCACTCTTTGTTTTTGTCATATCCTCATCGCTATGTTAGTTCCAAAGAACTTCAAATGTACGAAGGGGCCAGCTCAGGAGAGGCACTATTCAGTGAGCCACAGTGTTGTGATCGGCTTCCAGCCTTGGCCCGAAAGCTAGGCAGACATCAGCAGGGATGAATGACAGACTTCTCAACACCAAAAGCATAAGCAGGGACTGTTTGAAGTCCTCTGAGAAAGCAGCAGACTACTAGAGCTGCTAGAATCAGTTGCTGAAGGAAGATTTGATGGAAGCATTTGGGCACTCTAACAAACGTTCATGTGAGTGAGCACAGATTGTCCACAAGTGTTTTTGTGCCTGGGCACTGTGAAGGTACCTTCTAAAGAGCAGAGATATGTGGTCACCCATTTGTTGTCTCTGCCAATGATTGGCTGGAAATTCTGTTTCACTAGAGAATTTGTCTTGATTTTATTGACTGTACTAGGTGGGGAAAGAACACTGGTATGAACTGAAACAGAGAATTTCTGTTTTAAATAATCCATTCAGTAACAGAATAACTGATCTGCTGACAGATCTGCTGATGCTGTCACAGCCATCTGAGTACGTGCCACTACACAACAGCATAGCTAGTCTCTCTGCTCTTCATTTTCATGCCACTGCAGTGGTTAAAAGTGAGAAATTTTCTCAAAGAGCCACTGGGGACAGGTGGGTGGAAAAATGATATATGTACCAACTGAGATAAAAACTAACCTCCTCCAGTATGTCAAGTTCTCCCCTTCAGGGGATCAGCATGGAAAAGACAGTTGATTTGACACTGAATAAATAGTGAAGATATGAGATATTCTGTGAGGTCTTTTGAACATATTCCAAGAAGCTTCTCCATCCAGGGGGTCTATGCTAGAAACAAGCGTCAGCTTGATATAAATTACATCAAATGGACAAATCTCAGCATGCCTGTCTAACCGTCTTAAAAATACAATCCAGGCAGTTCTGACCTGCTGGCCTTGTTAAGGACATGAATGACAAGCGTTTATGAGCTGGCAAGCAAACAGACATGGCTTTAAATACTTCAGAGCACTACAAAGTGACTTCTTGAAAATCTGGGAAACCTTCCACTTAATTTACTATGTGCTGCTCATGGCGTGACCTCCTTACGGATGTAACGTCTTTGTAACAGGCATAATTGTACAGTTCTGCTAGATATGGGGATGAATTCTTCCAGGCTTTGCAGAACTCCAGAAATTGCTTTGCTGGATTCCTCAAGAGTACAAGAGGCAGAGATCCCAGGCTGGAGCTCCCTAAATGGTACTGTAAAACCATGAATGTGCCCCAAGTTGTATAGACTGTCCCAAATTATATATCATTTTCCTCAGACCTCAGGGTGGACTCCTCAGGGTTGCACTCATTCATCTCAAACTACAAAGCACAATATATAAAATCCTTCAAATGGTCCAATTTACTCAAAGTAAATCAAACTGAAGTGGGAGTATTTTTCACAGTAGGAGAAATCTCTAGGTGGGTTTTACAAGCAAGTCTGGGAAAAACACCAACTGTTTGTTCTTCCCACAAACCTTAAAGTCATTCACAGATTAATACTGCATATACTTTCCTAGACAAAACAGCATTTGCAAAAGTTTCCAAAAGATCTTTGGTGGTCACATATAAATCATTCTCTTTAAGGGTTTTTTTTCTTTCTTCAAGTCCTCTGTCTTCATGAAGAATTTCTTAACGTACAGTTTTTACAGAGATTCCACAGCAGAGCAGTCTACTGAATAATACGCACAGTCCCCAAGTGTCCAGCTGAGATCACCATGTCTTATTTTATTAATAAATTACTTAGTCAAATCCCACAAGGTTTTGTAAAGGATCATCACAACTTTGCAGTTAAGATACAGCTCCTTTATTTGAAGGAAGTCCGTATTTTTTCTACTCCATTTCCCTAACAGTAGAAACATTCACCTTTTTCTGACAATCTCTATTTTTGTCATTAAAAATGAGTTGAGCAGAACTTTGTCCAAAACAATCTCAAGCGTTTGGCAATAAAAGGGGAACTTAATTTTTTCCACAATGAAGATTGTATTGGAATTTGCTTTGAAAACACACATTTTTGACCAGACATCAATGTGGTCAACTGTTTTTTGTTGTATAACCAGAAACTTCAACGAAATAAATGAGAAAATGGATTTATAAAATGATACCACTACTGTGATATTTACTCCACAACATCAGATTAAAATGTTAAAGATTAAAGTGATTACTACTGAAGAAAGTCCTAGGTATGAGAAGTGTTCACACTGGCAGAGCATCAAATGTGTCCTGGAGTCAACTGTGCTACATAATAGCAAAAATGTGCCAAAATTGAATTTAAAAGCACAAGTGGGCAATTACAAACATGACAAAAGTTATATAAATTTATCAAAGGAAAAGCAAACCAGTTATTGGAAAAATGATTTAAAAGTAGTATGAATTTGCAAATGATTTATGTGGTCACAAATATGGAAGATTACCACTCTGGAAAAAGTTTTCTGCAACTTGACTTACTCCATTTTATAAAAGGAGGGAGAAGTACCTGGAATTGTTAACAAAAGACCCCATGTAAAAATTCCCCATGTAAAACGGGTAGGAACTGCACCATAAGAATAGTCTCAGCTATAAACAGCTCAGCTGGTTCAGCTACAGGAAATAAAGAGGGCTTCATCTGAAAGGGTTAGTTCTATAACACACAAAAGACCTATCAGACAATGTATTAAAACTTTGGTGTGCTTCTCTGCATCTTTGGAAATGAAAGAACTCAGAAAGGAAAGGAATCTCTTGCATTAGTGAACGGATACAGTATCCTACTGAAAGGAAATGCTACTCCCATTTCATTATCATCTCAAGATTTCTTGTTCAAAAGGTGGACAGTGGAATCACATTTTGTTTGTTAAGAGTCACTTTTCCTCAGTGCAAGGACCTCTTGTATCCTCAGCTTCTGTGCCTTTTAAGCACATTCCTAACAATAATATTTCGCAAATGCTCTTTAACAATGTTTTAAACAGGAGCTCACTGCTTCAAAATAAAGATGAATAACAAGGAAAGATCCTTCCCACAGAAACAACTGTTGCTGAACAGTCCCGTAACACAGCCAGTCTGGAATGAGACTGGTAGAGCTGTAAGGCAGAGCTGCACCAAGAGTGAAAGGATCTTCTCATCATGCAGATAAGCCAAGATATACAATATCAAAACATCCTATTAGGGCTGTTACTCACAAGGTACAGACCAAGGTGCCCTGTATTAGCTGAATCCTGGTGTAGGCACACTCCCAGTTCACGCGGTTGCTAAACAAAACGTAGGCTAACTGTCTAGACCACGCATCATTTATATCTAAAATGAGTTTATAATATCTGAGAATAATTTCTTAACTCTCTGCAGCTACATGGAGATGCACCTTTTATACAAAGGATAACCAGCTTTTCCATATTCCTGGAATTACACAAAAGAAGGTTGGACAAGGCCCAAAGATTGTACATTCTCTGTAACATGCAGATGCTTGATAAATCTGGTGTTTGTTTCATACTGCACTTAAATGCAGCCAGAAGCCTTGGTGGGTTACTACACTTCTGGCCTCAGGTCAGTGAAATATTTTTCCTTGCTGGTCAGAGTTTTCAGATGGAAAGATATAGTTATTATAACATGATATCTAAAACCTGCCTTAATGACTCATCTGGTATGGAATACAAACCTCAGTTCCAAACTGATCATCTCAACAAGTGACACTCCTACCCAGTGCCCCAATACTGCCAGGCACTGAGCGTGCTGACCTTGAGAACATGCTTAATTTTAAGCATTTAGTTGGGTTAGGGCCAGCTGTGTGCAGCCTGGCTTCTCTCTTGAATCAAGTTCCTACCTTTGACCACTCTGATGCTTCCCAGATAGAAAGGCAGTCCCGTCCTTCACAGCTTTGTACTGTTGTTGGTTTGTTGCCAAGGCAGTAGAGATCTCTCGTGTTAACGTAGGTGCCATTTTGCAACTGATAAACACAAGTCACTTCCCGGTGCTGGACACCTTTCTCACAAGTAGCAGAGCAGGGACTCCAATGGCCAGTCACCCACCTGGGAAGGAGCCAGAGAAGGAATATTAAAAAACTGGTGGGATAAAACATGATGCTTCACTTAAAAACTGTAAAAAACCCAGCAACTCTTCCTAGATTTGTGGGTTCTTCAATGGTGCTGATGCTGGTTCATCACACTGAGATCATCTCATGACCTTTGGGAGTTGAAGTGTATAAAGCAGAAAAGTGTTGGTATAGGAGTGAACATCCACTCCTGTCTCCATGCTAGACAGAAACACAAACTCCGCATAACTCCCTCTACAATGTGGCTGCATTTTTCCCCCAGATAAAGACAGACTTGTTCTGCAGACCATCCTATCCCACAAATATTGTTGCCTTTGAGAGGCACCTGGGAAAACCGCAGCTACATCTGCATGCACATCTTCACTGTGCAGCGGAGCTGGGCAGAGAGAACCTGCACAAACTGTACAAACTGGGATGGTGCCACAGCCAGACACCCACGCAACATGGCTTTCCCACGCCCAGGACCAGAGTCAGCTTCTCTAGCCCTACATTATATGACCTCAAGGCATACAAATCCTCTACATCCCAGACTATTAGAATGTAAAGATATCTCCTGCCTCATTTTTAGTTTACCATCTCACAGCCGCTGGTGAGATTTCATATTTCCAGGATGTTTAATTGGAACCTCATCTGTTTGAAGTTCATGGCATTAGGGGCCTCAAAAATGGAGAATAACTGGCCATGTTCATTCTTAGATAATCTGAATTGCATTTAACTGCCAAGGCTTGAGAAGTACTTAAAAAGTCAAGATTTTCCCTATAGAAAGGATCCTACAATGTTGTTTCAAAGCTGCTGTAGCTCACAAGGATGTGCCATAACCCAGCCTGGATAGGGGTGGGTGGGGGGTATTTCCCCATACTCATCATTTCTCTGAGCCTTTGGGATTCATTTACTTTGCAAGCACATTTCAGTTCCCATTTCCTTCCCCTTTGATCAAAGCGTGCTGGGAACAAACACATGGCCTTTTGTTGTTGTTGTTTGCTTTGTTATGTCTTTAAAGACTCTTTGGCAAACACGCAGCATGATGTTGTGAGGTGTTTGGGTTCCTCCAAAGTAAGGAGTGAGCAGTCGCTGGCTGTGGGCATGCAAAGGAAATGAGGCAACCTCACCCCACTGTCTTCCAGCTCAGTGTAAGGCCAGTTGAAAAGTTCTCACTGACTCCAGCAAGTGCTGGAAGCACCACTGTGGTTACAAGGCACTGAATAAAATGTCTATGAAGAATCTGAATTAGAAGGTATGTAGGGAGGAATGATTTTTTTTCCTTAAGAAAAGCAGCATCGATCTTTACGCTTCCTGCAATCTGTCAATAAGGAACATGTTCTCTGTAATTA